AAATATTTGATATTTATTTATTTATTTTAATTAAATATTTTAATTTTTTCTTACTTTACTGCTGGGGGCTCTGGGAAATATCAGTGGTCTAAACAGACTCCTGATTTTTCCCTTTTACAATAGAAAAAGAGATTGAGGACCCAGAGTTCCCAACCTCTTTTTCTGCAGCCCCTGTTATGATTGAACAGGAAATAATGTAGAGCACTTTCTGTTCATTCATAATTGGGGACACAGTAAACATACTATGTCCTCAATTATTTACAAACACTCATGGGGTTATCCTTCGGGCTCAGTCGAACTGAAGGGCTGCTGCACGGGCGGCTCAGTGATCACTGAACGCTACCTGCTTGTACCCACTCTCCATCCTGACTCACTGTCACAGGAGGCTAAGCTGGCTCGGTTTACCTGTGACAGCTCATAGATGTCTCTGCCCCCACACCACTCTCCATCCAGATGTTGTTGTCACAGGAGGCCAAGCCGGGCGGTGTGGGAGGAGAGCTCGGCCTCCTAGGACACAGACCGAGGACATTCCCCGCCCCGCTCGGCCTCCTGACAGTTTCTCTTCTCCCCACTGAACGCTGCTCTGAGTGTGGAAGGGTTAAAACCTGTGTCAGTTTTTTTTTCATTAATATCTATGTGAATACCCTTCACTTTCTTTCTTTGAGACAAAAAAGAAAGTGAGAGAACATTTCTCCAAAGTGAGGAATCAGTGTACCTTTTGGAAGATTTTCCCTCATTTCCTGTTTCAGTGACCAAGTTTTAGATATCCCATCATCACTTGACAGTGGTCACTGTAAATCTCCTCAGAAGCTGGACAGACAGCTATAGAAAAAATCTAACAAGAGTTCTAATCCTAATTAATTAAGAAACTTTAAAAAATTAATGTTTCACTGTGCCCTGAAAATAATGAGGTGATTACATTTCACGGAAACTAATATGTAATTCACAGCCGGCTTCCATCACATCTGTACAGGTCATGGTGGGGTTACTTGGCCTTCTCCCGGGATGCTAAGAAGGCTGAGGCTTCCAAATCTTGCAGGAAGTCAATCCATCTAAAAGACCATTTTGCTTACCAAAAGCCAAGGTTACATGTAACTCCTGTACTCAGTCTTGTCTCTTACTTTGTGTACATTTGTTGGGGTCCTTCTGCAGGAGACAATTTCACTGTCTACATGAGGTGAACACCTTCTTTAGTTGTCCAGTGGTGGAGTCCTCTCAGAATCTAGACTGTAGGGACAGTAGCAGATTCGTGGTCTTGGGTGCATCTGCAACACTGGATTACCTGCCCCCCCCCCCCCCCCCACCCAGGAATAGCAGTGACAAGGGACCTGGATGGGGTATTATATCCTGTTTCAGTAGGTAAGAACCCCAAAAAAGTTTGTTGGGTTGGTTACACAGGGGTGGGAGGTAGGTAATAGATTGTGTGTGTGGGGGGGGCGGGGCCATAGTTTGCCAGGAATACGGTTTTAACGATGTATCTTTTTTACACAATCTATTGCACTTTTTACTATGTTGTAGCACCACCCATAGGGCTGTTAATTGTTTTTCCTAGACTTGAGGCTGGATTCACAACTTTGCATTTTTGCTTGATGCATTTACCATTGGAATAAATAGAAATGCATCAAATCGTATGTCAACACATACGTTGAGACGCCCGTCCATTGACTTCAATGAAAAAACAATCAGGTGGAAAAACTCATAGTAGGGAATTAAGCCTTTGATCTGCTTTAAGACCGGTTTTAATAAGAAGTTCAATGATGGATGTTGCTCAAATACCATTCTATAAAACTGGCTTGCAGCTGAATAACATGGCAGTTTTATTGCATCAGAGATGGTTATCAATGCTATGTAAAATGTACTAAAGAAAGGAGGGAGTGCCATTGCTGAGTTCCAATACTGAGACACATCTGGTGTAGTAAAAATTCCTGTCCTTCTTAGTGACCTTTGTGGTGTTACTTCATATAACAGACAAAATCACCAACAAATTGACAGCAACTATCATTATCATTTATACTGATTTTGTTGTTGAGTTTGTTGATCTATAAAATAGTTTATAAGTCTGTGTGAAGCCCCACCCTAAAGGTATGCGCTTACACTTGACTCACTCCAATGAAACTGATACATTATATATTCTGCAGCTATATTGTAGACACTAATGTAGCCCATTCACAATGACTAGTTGGCTGTGTGATTTCTGCTTTGAACATATTATGTTGTTTGGGCCATTCACATTGCAGTGAAAATAACATTTTGCACAGTATAGTTGTGGCACGTTTTACAGTCAGACAGTATTCTCAAAGCCCAGAGAAGTGAAGTTACGTGCCTGGTACTAGTAGGTATGGTGGACCATGCAACCCACTATTTTCCCTCCTCATGACAGGTGCTGGGTGACTGGTTGCTTTGTCACCCAGTGCTGTCACTTAGTGGTGGGTAGTATTTTTTTTCTATTAATTCACACAGCGCAATAAAGGAAAGGTAAATTTAAACAGTTGCTGAGGCTGGCATTGAAGTAAGCCTGTTTATTTTCCCTGCATGGGCAAATCACTGGTTCACTTTAAAGCCAAGCTGGGTAATCAAACTCCCTTTTGCAGTTACCTTTAAAGGGGGTGGCCTGTCTAGCAGGCTGGTAATCACCCAAACCAGGGACCTCACCACTAAAGCCCAACTTCAGCCAAACCTTGGTGCTGCATTGGGTTTGCTTGAAGTTTGTTCACATTTACTGGTGAATTATTATATAAGATTTCTTAATTTTTTTTATTAAATTCAGGTTGTTTTTAAGAAAGGGAATGCTCCCCAATGAGGTCTGTCTTAATCTAGATGTGTGTGTGTCATGGGGTAGGAAAGCAAAAGCGTTAGGGTTAAGGGCTAGGAACTTGAACCAGCCAGGACCCTGGAAGTGGTCTGGTGGCTGACGACATACGCTGCCTGGCCAAAAAAGTCACTACCTGGCTTTAGCTAAGCAAATTATTAAAGGCTATAGGGTTTGCTTCGTTGGCCGGGTCTAGCTTCAGCAAAGTTATTTGCCCAAAAAATTAGGTCAGTTGCTGAATATACTGAATATAAATTTTTCATTGATTGAATATACTGAAAGTTCCATTTTATGTTATAAAAAAATTCACGTTATTTGCAATGTATTTAAATGTGTAGCTTTCATCAAAATAACCTGGTGATCCTTCCAGAAAGGTCCTTTTTGAAGAACTTCCTATTATGGGGTTACAACTGAATATACTGAATGACCAGGTTTTTCCATCCATGGATTTTTTTCCCCTGATGGCACATTGGCCATATTTCAAGATGGCAATGCCAGGATTAATCAGGCTCAAATTGTGAAAGAGTGATTCAGGGAGCATAAGAAATAATGTTAACACATGGATTAGGCACCACAGAGTCCAGACCCTAACCCCGTTGAGAATCTTTGGCATGTGCTGGAGAAGTCTTTACGCAGTGGTCCAACTCACCCATCATCACTACAAGATCTCGGTGATAAATTATTGCACCTCTGGATGTAAATAAATGTTGTGACATTGCATAAGCTTATAGAAATGATGTCACGGTGAATGTCGTAATCAAAGCTAAAGACGCCCAACGAAATATTAGGAAGATAATGGGAAAAAATAGGAAGACAATGAAAGCCTATACCACACAGTAGTTATATCACTTTTTTTAACAAATAAAAGGATTCAATTTGAACTGCTGATTTTCCAGACTTCTTACATGCTGGTACTCCTTTACCTGGACACATAGACATTTGTATAAAAGCTTTGTATGAACAGTAAACATTTAATACTGATGTCACAAAGACTATGGGTTTTCCAAGGAAACAGCTAAACCAAAGCTATTTGCCTTCAGACTCTCTCTCACTGACTGAAACTCTATGAAAACAGAGCGAATGTGGGTAGGGAAATGGGTCACTCTTTTGACTTATTCAGATATGTATGTAACTTTCAGATTGAGCTATTTGCAAACAATATTTTTTTAATAACGATACAGGCTATAGCCGGCCTGCAAAATGTGTAAAAGGGTGCCTATAGTGGCAACTTCTCTCTGAAAACAATTTAAACTATTCACGTGCAAATAAGTCATATTTACCTGACTAAAAACGTTTCATATTTTTTAAATACAATGTTTGTGGTTATGGCCATATGAAAAAAAAAGAAAGAATATATACAAAATCATTATACAATCCCTCTAATCATACTAGCCTTATGATGACCATCAAGAGAGTTGGAATGTCATGGTCATGATAAATATAGCCACTACATGCATACATACATACATACATACATACAATTTCACAACTATTCTAACTAGTCTTTACCTGGACACCAAGGATTAAAAAGTAGAATTAAGTCCCCCAAGTAGTAGGATGTGGGGGTTTTCCAATAAGTTCCTTCCAGGTATAGGCGGTATCGACCAACACAGGCTGTTGCTGAAGAACAAATGTTGATGGACAGAGAATTCACACCTTCACTTTCCAGCTCCGCACTCCAAGTTTTATTGCTATTTATTTTTGTCACTGGGAACTGAATAAGGGTCCCAGATTGGAGAGATGGGTATGAGCCTAGAAGAGAAAGCCGTACAAGGGTTATTTTTTTTTTTTATTTACATTTTCAATTTTTTTTTTGTGTTGCCGAATTTTAACGTAAAACTTTCCTTTCTCCATTCAGAGCAAAGTAAGAGGTTCACTTAACTACCCCCTCCCCTTTCACCTTTCCTCTTTTCCCCACCATTAGGTTAATGTTGAGTGATGGTTTTCGATTATTTCCCATTGTGCTTTTCAATGTAAAGCGGAGAGCAAATGCACCAGAAATATGCAATTCTATGAGATTCCTTGGTCATTAAGCTTTGTGCCCAGAGCAACGAGCACTTTTACCCCACCAGATACAATGTCATGCATTGTGCTGCATTTTCTGCCACTGCAAAATGCATGGACATGGAGGAGTACAGTAGGACTTGTTCATGAGATGTTTTGAAGGTTATTGGAAAAAGCCCTGCATGCTGCTTCTTGATGCACTGATCTGCACTTACCCCACTCAAGCACAATAGAATCCTAAAAAATGTAGCATGTTAGACAACATGGCAATGAACATTAGCAATACATACTTAATAAAAGGTATCTTGTGTGGACTGGCAGTAAACAGAACTTAGGGTAAAATATCATGGCTACAGCATAAGACCAATGTGTACTGATAATATTCAGTCAACGTTACAGCTCTCAAAAATGTTATTGCCATTATAGCTGATAAGAAGTCAAGAGAGCCAATCATCAGGGTATTATGCAGTAGACAAATGGGAAATGTGTCCTAGGCCCACAAAGAGAGTAGATTTACCAGTGGACTTGCAAATAATGAATCTTGGAATGCTAAAACATAAAGGAGCTCACATCTACAATACTTGTGATCCTTGGAGCCAAGAAACCGCTTAATCTCAAAGCTGAACTCTAGGAAAACCGCTAATTATGCCTATGAAATATTTATAAAAGAGCTGTTTTATCTGCCAAAGGATTTGTGTTTCTGTCCATGCAGTCCTGAGATTAACGCAGCCCAGTCCTGTCTGGTACAGCGGAAGACCTGATTGTATTCGCTGTAACACCTCCCTCCTGCAGTTTGTGACTGGACAGTAAATAGAGAAGCAGTGCACTGATGAGCTAAACTCTTGGTCAATCTACTCTCTACTCCTATCAGCATATCCTTTGAGCTTTCTTCCCCCTAGACTATTGTAAAGTACTTCCATAGATGGTAAATAAATAAGGAGAGAGCTATAGATAGAGCAAACTATTCTTTATATATCCTAACTATATGTGCTAATGGCGATCACTGAAGGATACACTTATTGTATGTGTGCAATAGGCATGTGTTGATTCGTTTCGTTCCGAATCAAAATTTGTACAAATTTTCCGAAATTCAGACAAATCTGAATTTCCGAATCCCAATGCATCCAAATGTATCCGAATCCGAATTTACGTTTCCGAAATTTTCAGATCCCGTTCGAATTTCCTTTAAAAACTAAAAGTAATTCTGTAGTAATTGAATACTACAGAATACTAATTATATACACATAATATACTAAAGCCGATGCTCCAAGACCCGAATGGAGTCCAAATTTCCAAATCCCATTTGGGTCTGGAAGCCTCAGCTTTAAAGGAGAACTATGAGGTGAGTGAAAATCACTCGTCCTCATAGTTCGAGCTGACGTGTGACAATTAAACTGTCACACACCGGCTCAATAGATGGGGAAGTGAGCGAACGCATACCGGCGCTCACTCACTTCTCGATCATCTCCCTGCAGAGAGAGGTGACTGCCAGTCCCAGCTCCCCGCAGGTATTCCCACTCCCCTCTCTCCGATTCTCCAGCGCTGACTGGAGGTAGGGACGGGGAGGGGGCAGACACAGCTAGTTCTCTAGATAGGCAGAGCCAGCTATCACTCACGCAGCTGGTGGGATCTTGACAGCATTGTCGGGATCCGTCCAGGCTGCAGCGCTCTCAGTATACCGCGAGCAATAGCTCGCGATATACTAAGCTATGGGTCACGGGAGAACACTAGTATATGTCCTCCCATGACCCCTAAGAGAACTATGGGGAAAAACACTTACCCCATAGTTCTGTTTTAATATTATGTATGTATATGTATTTGGCTCCCAGACCCATATTGCTTACTGGAGCTCCCAAATGCTATTCAGAAGTTTGGAAATTCAGACTCCTGAATGCCATACGGGTCTAGGAGCTCCAGCTTTAGTATTAATATCTGTATATGGTTTTCTGTGGTAGTCGCAATTAATATTCGTTTGTAAACTCATCCTAAACTAATGAAAATTCTGATTTTTTCCGAATCCTAAATCCCAAAATATAGAAATATCTGCCAAACCAAATTATTCCACAGCTTAGGTGTCTAGTGTGCAATATTTTAGAGGAATATATCCAAATACAAAATATGAAATAATATTTAACAAATAAAGGTTATACTTTAGCGTTTTATGTGGGCCAGTTGTGCTGTGCTGCCTCCAGCAGTTGAATGGCAATGCACTTGCATTGGTATTATTGTGTTTTAGTATAGTTAATATTTGGTATGCTGCTACCTAGTAGTCATTTAGTTTATTATGCCTCTTTTCTGTAAATCCTCCGCTTTGTATGATGTAACATATTCGTTTTGACCACTACAACTGGAGCCAGAATATGCGCGGTGTTTTGAAGTGCATCACTTCTGCAAAATATTGTAGTAGTTTCCCACAGTAACATGCACCACTATACCTAATAAACAAGGCCAACTTTCTTTTGGTTGTTGGACTAAGCATCTAATGGCAGCACACATTAGGAAGTTCTGGTGCAGTGTTGCTTACCTGTTCCATTTTCCTGTTCCAGTAGGGGGAGTACTGGTATAGAACAGCCTTTCTCAACCAGGGTGCCATGGCACACTTGTGTGCCTCCTGGCTTTCTCAGGGGTGCCTCAAAATTAGGTGGTAGTGGGACTGTGATATGAAAAGGGGAATTAAGACTGATGTGAAAGGGTCTCCTGATGTAAAAGGGGAACTCGCATGTGAAAGGGATGCTCTGATATTACAGTGGGACTTCTAATGTGAAAGGTGGCTACTGATGACAAGGGTGACTCTAATGTGAAAGGTGGCTACTGATGACAAGGGTGACTCTAATGTGAAGGGGGGCTACTGATGGTAAGGGTGATTCCAATGTGAAAGGGGGCTACTGATGGCAAGGATGGCTCTAATGTGAAGGGGGGCTACTGATGGCAAGGGTGACTACTGATGGCAAGGGTGATTCTAATGTGAAGGGGGGCTACTGATGGCAAGAGTGACTCTAATGTGAAGGAGGGGCTACCGATGGCAAGTTTGACTCTAATGTGTAGGGGGGCTACTAATGGCAAAGGGGACTCTAATGTGAGCCCAGATAGCAAGCTATTGAGCTGCAAGATTGAAAAATGACTTGCATTGCAAGTCTCCAGATCAACGTGCTTTGCAAAAGTGCTGTACACTTGCAGAGCTCTTGCTAAGACCTACAGGACCCTTGGTGTAGACTTGCCAAGCACATTTGCTACAAATTCAAAAAAGTGTCAACTAGAACGTGTGCTGCAAGTGTTCTGCAAGTCTACAACTTGCCAGGAATGTGTGCAGCAAGTTAACAAGAATTACAATTTAACCCTGGCACAAGTTTGTGGCAAGTTATCCTTACTATCTGGGAAGGGGGGCTACTGATGTCAAGGGTGACTCTAATGTGAAGGGGGGCTACTAATGGTAAGGGGGACTCTGATGTGAAGAGGGGGCTAATGATGGAAAGGGTGACTGGGGGCTACTGATGCAAAGGACGACTCTGATGTGAAGGAGGGGTAAATCTTGATTTGAAGGATCACTTTGATGTATTGGGGAATCCCACTTTTGTGTGTGTTTTTGCATGGGGCCCTTAAGATCTATGACATTTTAGCCTAGGCTGTGAGATTTTGCATACTTTAAATGGTTCTGTGACTAAAAGAATAGGTTAAGAAATGCTGGAATGGAAGATGAGCCTGCCAGTCAAATACTTTTTAACATACTGCAAAATGCTGTCTGTGGCTATTTATTTTTTGTTCCTTCTTCAAGTTTCCTTTAAACCTTCCAGTAAAAAAGACAGAGATTGAGAAGATCTGGCAATACAATCACAAAGATGATATTCAAGGACAACCCATGCCAGCTTCAAAGACAACTCAGATATAAGAGATGTCTACAACTGGTTGGACTCACTCTATAACATGCATGTACTATCATTGATGACTATTATCCCACATGGCATACCTGTTTCCGCTCTAAGCTTTAGGCTGTCAAGCTTTTCCTCTTTCCCGTTATAGTAGAACAACACCTTGATGTTGAATGGTTGACCTCTGCGGAGAGTGAGCTCTTTGCTCCTGATGCCTTGAGTCTGATGTTCTTGACCATTCTTCAGCTTGTTGACATCAATCCTCGACAGTTGTGGACCTGCTGCTAATGATAAAAAGATGATTGACTTGAAATTTGTTTTCTAAGTGGATGAGGAAGTTAAAGAACATCTCCAGTCAGTTGAAAAATGAACCCTTGCAGCGGGGCTACCTCTGCACTGCAAGGGTGAACTGATCTTCTTGGTCTAGGGGCTGAAATAAAGAAGATATAGTCACCTGATTCTCGATTAGTTTTTTCGGAAATTTGGTTTTTAGGTGAATGAGCAAGTTAAAGAACATCTCCAGGCAATTGAAAAATTACCCTTGCAGTGGGGCTACCCCTGCACTGCAAGGGTGAACTGATCTTTTTGGTCTAGGGGCTGAAGTAAAGAAGATATAGTCACGTGATTCTCGATCCTGCGGCGATGAACGGTCACCTCTCTCCCTTTCTGCTCTTGCGGTGGTAGATACCTTGGCGTTCAATGCAGCTGCATTCGACGTGATGACGTCACAGGTCCTTAGACCACCAGAAATGAGAAAAAGTGGCTGCAGGAAACTGTCTAGCAGCCAGACGGAAACGAAGATCAGATGAGTATATTTTCTTTTTTTTAGCCCAAAGAACAAACCGAACAGTTAACCCTTGCTTTACCCAGGTTGCTCCACTGCAAGGGTCAATTTTTAAATTGCCTTGAGTCTTCTTTAAAGGAATTTTGCAAGGAATGTTTTAATGTGACTTCATAATTTAAAGCACTCAGGAATTACAATTATCTGTTGCTTAACTGGGAAACACCTCTGGAATTACAGATAAAAGAACCTCAGTGACTGATTTACTAAGAACCCGTTATAACATATGCTTTGTATCTCTTTCCCTGCTGCTTGACGTGATGTAATCTCAAATTCTTAAGATTACATATCCCATCATTCATTGCTTCCAGCGAGCAATAATAATGATAACTCTACATTGTTCAGATGTTGAGTTGTAGTTCAGGTGGTTTTGGGAGAGTAGTGACACAAGCAAGTGCATATTTGCAGGACTGAGTGAAATTGTACCAGTGCATTGAGGAAGTACATCCTATGTACATAAGACAAAAACTGAAAAAAGGAAAAAAAAGAAAGGGCAGACTTGATGGATCACTGCACCATGGACTTTTTCTGCTGTCACTTTATGTGTCTTTGTTAGGGATGCACCAATACCGTTTTTACGGTATCGAGTACGAGTACCGATATTTTTCTTTTGGTACTCGCTGATACCGAGTATCCACTGGCATACTGCCGGCTTCCCGGTAAATCAGGAAGCTGGGCGGCATGTAATGACATCGGCGTGTGATTGCCCAGGAAGCCAGTTCCATGTTGTTTGGCTGGCTCGATTGTGATTGGCCGGCTTGTCAGCCAGTCAGCATCGAGCCTGCTTCCTGACCAATCATGTCCATGTCATTACACGCCAGGAAGCCGACTCCATGCTGATTGGCTGGAAAGCTGTATAAGAGATCAGTTTGACAAGTAGTTGTGAAAGTACATGTACAGGTACTCGTGAAAATGCCCTGTATCGGCACCAATACCGATACCAATATTGGTATCCGTGCATCCCTAGTAAAAATTAAAATCTTTCTCATGGCTAGAACCAGAAAAAACAATCCCGGATGGAGGCGTACGTATCTCCCCAGGTCCCCAGGACTCGAGGCCTAAGCCGCGGGAGCGGCCCGGGGCGCCCGCGTACGCCACCCCGACGAGACGTACCCAAGCCTCTCCACCTGCAGCCCGGACGGGCTAACCCTTTCTTACTACAAACAGTTCCCAGACCTCCTGGGCGATCACTTTGTCCTGGCATATAACTCCGTCCTACGGGGGCATACCCTACCCCGGGACTCCTTGCGAGCTCAGATCTCTGTCATACCGAAGTAGGGCAAGGATCCAGCACAGTGTGCCAGTTATAGACCCATTTCATTGCTGAATGTTGACCTAAAGCTGTTCACACTTATTTTGGCCTCCAGATTGCTCCCATTTCTGGGTGAGCTCGTAGACCGCAACCAGGTTGGCTTTGTCCCGGGCCGGGAGGCCCGAGACAACACCATCAGGACCCTGAATGTGGTCCACCTAGCACGTTCCATGTCTACACCTCTTCTGCTGTTGTTAGACGCGGAGAAAGCTTTCGACAGGGTTGACTGGGCGTTTCTGAGGGAGACGCTAATACATGTGGGCCTGGGAATCAATATGAGGCAATGGATAGGCTCACTGTACTCAAATCCTACGGCAGTGGTCAGAGTAAATGGGATCCTTTTCGAACATTTCGAATGGTACTCGTCAGGGATGCCTATTGTCCCCTCTTATATTCCTTCTCTCCTTGGAACCACTTCTCAGGACGATACAGGCATCCCCAGATATCAGTGGCCTGGAGTCCAAAGTGGGTCACCAGAAAGTAGCTGCCTATGCGGATGATCTCCTGCTCTATGTATCAAACCCAGAAATATCACTGCCCAATATTTTACAAGCTCTGGAGACCTATGGACGTCTCTCCAATTTCAAACTGAACTTCAGTAAATCAGAGGCACTTAACATCACGATCCCTGCCATGCACCTATGCGGCCTCCAGAGGTCTTTTCAGTTTAAATGGGCGTCATCTTACATCACATATCTAGGAGTATCTATCCCAGCAGACGTTAAGGATACCTTCGCTCTGAACTCCATCCCCATTCAAAAACGCATCGTCGCAGACCTGAAGTCCTGGGACCGTTCCACGTTTACGTGGATGGGTCGCAATAGCATTTTAAAAATGACAATTCTGCCCAGACTACTCTATCTCTTCCAAACGTTACCTATTACAGTTCCAGCTACGTATCTAAGACAGCTGCGCTCTCACTTCTTAGCCTTTCTGTGGGCGAACAAAAGGGCCCGATTGCATCATCAGATCCTATCCAGACCCCGAGCGGCGGGTGGATTGAGCTTTCCAGATCCTGCTCTTTATTACAGAGCGACCCACCTAGCAGTGATTGTAGACTGGTGCTGTAACGCAGGTCAGAAATTGTGGGTGGCCCTGGAGCAGGAGGATTGCCCATGGCCGTTGCACAGTAACCCGTGGATGTCTCCGAAATTGCCGCTCTCCTCTTGGACGAACCCTTTGGTTCGTGCCACGATGCTAGTGGCATGCAAGGTGCTCCCCTCCCCGGGCTTTTCTCCTGTTCCATCGCCATGACGCCGGTGGTAGGAAGCACGCGCTTCCCTCCAGGTCTGCATAACCCATTGGCCAGAGCCCTAGAGACATCAGGGATGACTAGAGTATATCACTTCAGGGATACAGACCGATGGAAACAAGTTGCCCAGATTCAGACCCTTACCGACCCACCCCTGCGGTTGTGGTGTGCCTTACAAATCAGACACTACCTAGGTTCATTCTCGGGGAAGACATGTCCTTTAGAGACAATTGACAGAATTTGAGAGCATATGTCTGAAGGCTGAGCCGATTAGACACACTCTGTCACACATGATGAACTGCCTCCGCAATCCCCCAGACTTGCCCCACCCGTACTTTGTTCGACAATGGGCCACTGATCTAGGAGTGGATCTGAGCCCCCGACAGATGGACCGTATGATATGTTTTGCCCTCAGATCCTCAGTGTCGAACAAGTACCAGGAAGCAGGTTATAAGCTTTTGACCAGATCGTACAGAGTCCCTACGGCCCTCCATGTGATGTACCCCTCTGTATCTAATCTTTGTTGGCGTTGTGGGGAAGAGCCGGGATCCCTGCTACATATTTTCTGGTCCTGCTCAAAAGTCAGACCTTTCTGGTCCAAGATCGCCACACTGATCGGCAAAATCACAGACTTTACACTTCCGTTTACTCCCTCGGTGTATCTCCTCCACTTGGCTCCACACTCACATAAACACTACCAACGTTCCTTGCTGATCCACTTGCTGAATGCGGCAAGGGCTTGTATTCCGGCATTGTGGAAGCAAGCCACACGGCCATCTGTTGAAATGTGGGTCAGCCAAGTGGAGGAGATTAAACTGATGGAAGATTTGACCTCCTCCTTAAACGGGACCCAAGCCAGATTCGTAACTACTTGGAGCGTGTGGCACCTGTTCAGGGACTCAGCTGACTTTGCTACTATGTGCAGACCCGGAGGATAGAGATGGAGCGAGTCCCGGCTGACCTCCTGTTGCCTTTTCAGGACAGGGATTGGAGTAATCCGTGCCGGATGTCCTGGAGTTGACCACCACCTTGAATTTCCCCCTACCCCTCCTTGTGCGTTTATGTTTCTTACCCTTTTTCTACTCTATGTTATGTTGTTTTGTTTGTTTAATTAATGTGCGTCCTTTAGAATAGACCGACTTGGTTCTGGCCCTCCACAGCAGTGGGCTGGACCCTGCGGTATGCCACGGAGCACTGTTGTCTCCCTGTTTTATAACCACAAAATGCCAAAGGGGATGGGATGGAGAGAGTCCGACCTGAATCGTATTGTTCTTGTTATACTCAATATTTACTTTATATCCCGCCTCTTTGTTTCTAAATAAAGAATAAAAAAAAAAAACAATAATGGGGCGACAGCCTATAGTTTTCCCACAAACCTTGTTATGTTTTTTCTTTATTATTTAAGCTTATTGCTATGATATGATGTGTGTTAATGGGGTATACAATCCCATGCCCTTCTGTGCAAGAACTTCCTTGTGCAGGGTGACTGGTCTTGTCTCCACCCCCCCCCCTTTGTGACAAAGACCGGTCACTGCTGCTCTCTCTCCTTTTGCAGGGTGACTGGTCTTGTCTCCGCCCCCCTCCTGTAATAAAGACCAATCACTGCTGCTCTCTCTCTCTTTGTGCAGGGTGGTAGGTCTTGTCTCCGCCCCCTCCTGTAATTTTCTGCAGGCAGCCTGTAGTGGGTGGAGCCTGCTGCATCCCACTTATAGGTATGTTCTCTGCACAAGCTGTGTGCAGCACAGTGATGGTGTTTATAGCTAATGTCGGGATATATTTATAGCTAATGAGATAATGAGGAATATATTTTTTAAAAGTGTTTGTGTTTGGAGTCTAACTTTAAATATACAAGTCGTATACCTAATATAAACTGAATACACGAACGTGATTTGTCTTCAATTAAAAAAACTTTTTTTTACATTATTATCCAGTTGAATGATTTGCGCTGTTTAGTTTATTTGTTTAATCTTTGTTGGCTCCAAGTGCTGCCCATTTATGCGGTAATTAAATTACTGTTCACCTGCTGCATTCCAGACTGCTTATTATTTCAAGACACACAGGATTTACCACTGAATAGTAGACATAAGTGCGCCCATCCACACAGATTAAAGCTGAACTACACCCAAACAAACACACATGAAATACACGGAAGCTGTTTTGCATGCCAAAAGATTTGTATTTCTCTCTCTTGGCATTCGTTCAGCACAGGGGAACGCAACACAATGCAACAGACTGGTGAACTGCTAAAGCATGTCAACGTAAGGCAGAACCAATACCTTATATAGCTTATATAACAAACAAAAAAAACAACCCCCCCCCCCCAAAAAAACGTTCCAATTCTGGAATGCACCCTAATCCTGTGAGATTGAGCTTCACATGGAGAGTTTTTTCAAGGAACCGCAGGGCCTACTGACTTGCAATCATGCCTTCCAATTGCCTTCCAATCTGTTGTGCTCATATCTACTGTATCAGAATGTATATGTCGCACTCCTGACCGGAAAAATCCCCAACGTGCAGGGCGGGTGCAGCAGCGACAGCAGATGCCTCCGCAAATCCCATAAAACTAGCAAAAAGTAACTCGCACTCCTACGTGATGCCCAGTCAAGCGATGTTTCGGAACCCAGTGGTCCCTTCATCAGGCAAACAGAAAATTGTTGCCGTTTGCCTGATGAAGGGACCACTGGGTTCCGAAATGTCGCTTGGAGATGTTATGCCACCTTAGTCAATAAAGGGATTGACTGGGCATCACGTTTGAGTGTGGGTGACTTTTTGCTAGTTCCAATCTACTGTATCAACAGATGCTAACGCAAGGGCACCAAAAAAATAGGCGGGTGTGAGTAGGGCTAGTTTACACCATGCTGAAAAAAGTTCATACCCATTGCTTTTTTAGAATTACCTTCCATTGGCGTCCACTGAATTCCGGATTGCAATGGATCCCAACAGATCTGGTGTGAATGGGGCCTCAGTCCACTTAGCAGAACATGTTTTAGGGCTTTTTGCCCACCTTTATTCATCCAAATGTCAAAGTTATACAGTGTTCTTCCCATTCAGGAGTTGTTTAGCCCGGGGATATAGAGGGAATGTTTATCAGCCTCCTAGCTATTTTGCACAGCTCTGTCTATTTCTCCTTAGAACACAACTGCCCCAGTCTCAGTCTCTCTGCTTAAAGAATTCTGGGCAATTGAAAACTCAATCCTTGCTGTTGGGCTTACCCCCACATTGCAAGGGTTAACTGCTCTTTTTGGTCTAGGGGCTAAAATAACGAAAATATACTTACCTGATCCTCGGTCCCGGCAGCCTCTTCTCTCCCAGGCTCTGGCAGTCTAAGAGCCACTGAGGTCATTATGTCTAATTCAGCTGCACTGCTTACATTATTATGCAACATTCACAAATCCAAAAACTGCAAATAATTAAAAGTAGTTACCCAGCTAACAATAAACATTTACACAGTGTTATCTTTGTGACGCCTGAAAGGACTGAGGCAGAAGTACTGAGAATATCTGACCATGGTGAGGGTTGCCAGATGATAATTAAATGTATGCACACACAGTACAGAGAGAATCCATGTCTTGTTCCATGCACACTCTCATTTCTAAAGTTTAGTTTTCATAAATGCAGTGAAAGGCAAGCCTGCAAGATCTCTGCGTAGCCCTCAGCTATACAATTTATACACAAAACATTTTTGAAAACTGACGAAATTATTGTTAATATATTCTTTGTAGAAATCTGTTATTATTGAGATGAAGAAAACTTAATCAAGACGGAATCACATAGCTTGATGTGCAAGTCCCTGGGACTTCCACCTTGTTGTGAAATCTGAAGAATCCTTATAGAAATTGCATCACTTCTAAAGCCACAAAGTATCTATCTATCTATCTATCTATCTATCTATCTATCTATCTATCTATCTATCTATATTTATTATATTATCTATCTATGTATCTATCTATCTATCTATCTATCTATCTATCTATCTATCTATCTATCTATCTATCTATCTATCTATCTATCTATCTATCTGTTCCATTTCATCCATCTGTCATCTACCAGTATGTACTGATATGTTTGCACCTGCAAAGACTTCAGATGGTAATTAAAGTTAGCAGAATATTAGACAAGTGTAACAATCAACACTAATGACATCTAGCACTTTGTATTTTCTCACTTGTCATATAAAGCCTGGCTGTATGGCTCAATAAAACATAATTAAGTGGGAAATAAAAGAAGTATTCAGATACTTACAGTAAGCCATCGTATGGGCTTCTGCTGCTGCAAGGCTTCCTTCTCTATGAATGCCTTTGTGTGATGAATCAATCAATTTGTATTGCTGAACTCCTCATCCTCCTTTTCTCCTCCTCCTATTCAGGACACTGTCCGGGAACTCCTCAGGTTTGACTGCTATTTGCTAAGTTATTGGAGACTACATATGTCTCTGGCTGGCATGGCACACCACGTGTCTGACAAATAATTGCAGTATTACATAGTGAAGGCATCTGTATTGCTCAAATGTGAATTTCACAACTGGGATACAACTATTCCAAAAGTTAAATACATTGATTATATTATAACATCCAGGAAATATTACCATTCATATAATGCATAGGAAATGTGGTAACCGTGATAAAAAAAAGTAGTTTGTTGGTATCACATTTGGAATTTAGACTTTGGTAGCTAGTTTTACAGAACTTACAGTCCTTTCATTTACATTCTATACAGTATACTGTATATAAGTCATGTTAATACTCCCACACAAGAAGGTGGCATGGGGCATTTATGGCCAGTGTCAATTATTTTATGTGGCTGGTGATGCTTCTATAGTATTTGGCACAGCAGTGGGTTAAGGCCACAGGAAGGGGTAATAGAAAGACAGAACTGCATGTGAGACTGCTGACCAGCAGGTAGACCACTGGTTCCATCTAGTGGATGCTGGGTCCACCTAGTGGAAGCTAGTTCCACCTAGCAGGCACTGGTTCCACCTAGTGGGCACTAGTTCCACCTAGTGAGTGCTGGTTCCACTAATGGGCACAGGTTGCACCTAGTGGGCACTGGTTCCACCAAGTGGGCACTGGTTGAACAAGTGGGTGCTGGTTCCATCTAGCAGCGTTGGTCCCACCTAGAGGGCGCTGGATCCACTTAGCGGGCACTGGTTCCACCTAGTGGGTGCTGGTTCCACCTACTGGGTGCTGGTTGCACCTAGTGGGCGCTGGTTCCACCTAGTGCATAACAGAAGTCACCAGCACTCGAAGATACGTGCAAGAAGTATAGGCACTTTTTTATTGACTTGTCACATGCATCATACAGCTGACGTTTCTGGGCCACGTAGGGTCCCTTCTTCTGGGCAACATAGTGACTTTGGGTGACTTCTTTATACTTGGTTCCACCCAGTGTTAACTTTGACACCAAGTTTAATTTTAGTCTTTTGATTAAAATTAATTTTTATTTTTAGTCGCATTTTAGTCATCAGATTATTTATTGTTTTAGTCGACGAAATTAAAGTCGATTTTAGTCGACGAAAATTAAAGTCAGCTATTAGTCAGTAGTTCACTTCCCCCTTCTACAGGAAGTGCTCAGGGAACCAGAAGCCAAATGCACAAGTCTGGGATCTAATTTTAGTTTAGTTCTGAGAATTTTTGTTTCGTTTTGTTCATCAACGGAAATTTTCAGAATATTCGTTTAGTTTTCGTCCCATTAACTGCCCTAGCATTTCGTTTTTGTTTATTTTTCGTCACGGAAAAACAACCAAATGACGAAAACAAATAAAATATTTTGTCGCCGAAATTAACACTGGTTCCACCTAGTGGGCGCTAGTTCCACTTAGCCGGTGCTGGTTCCACCTAGCTTGTGCTGGTTCCACCTAGTGGGTGCTGGTTCCACTTAGCAGGTACTGGTTCCACCTAGTGGACACTGGTTTCCTCTAGAGGGCGCTGGTTGCACCTAGTGGGCACTAGTTCCACCTAGTGAGTGCTGGTTCCCCCTAGAGGGCGCTGGTTGCAGCTAATGGACACTGGTTTCACCTAGAGGGCGCTGGTCCCACCGAGTGGGTGCTAGTAGCCCGCTAAACAGAACAAGTGATTGCCAATGCAGAACACTTTCAGCTCACCAGCTAAAATGCTCCTGCACACTCATTCTAAACAAATGGCTTTTCCTGTGTAAAAAAAAAAGTTGATGATGTGTTTTCACTATTCTCAATAAAAATAATAATTTTATTTTTGTTCGGTATGAGCTTAGGTTCAGACCAAGCCCAGTCCGTACCTGAGCTCTTTCTGAAAACGAAAGGAAGTGCCTTCCATGACAATTTGACGTAAGTAAAGGGCCAGGATGCAGTGACATCATTTACCTGATATGGCCACATGGCCATAATAGGTAAATTACATTACCTAATACATACAGCCGAGTGGTACACAAATAGAGATACATTTGTATTACTAGTTAAGGTATTTGAATGTATTTTTAGGATGTAACTCCTGCGTTTGGTGTTACTTTAATAAAACTCTAGATTGAGGCATGACAGTTAGGGGTTATAGGGGGCTGGCCTTCAACATTTCTTTTTTTCTGTTTGCCAGTGTCCACCTCCTGAAGGCAACATAACCTATATGTCTATAATTTACTATATAACTGTGTTCTTCAAAGGATAATATAGAAATGAGTGTATACAGGAAGGGGCAGATCACATGGTATTAACAAGATTAAAATTAAATACCCACATAAAAACCTACGTGTGATGTATGTATCAAATCTCAATTCTGGTATGTACCATTAAGGAGGTCCACCCAAAACACAATAAGACAATAAAAAAAAATAAAAAAAAAATGAAGGGAACCACAGCCCATAGAAATTTGAATACCAGGATATAATACGGAAATGTGAGAGTCATCCCAAGTGATACACTCTCAAACCATCCTACTGTGAAACATATCTGATAAAACTACCAACAGCGTTGTCATAACACCATGCACTCCTCCTCCAAGGACACTTCATTCATACCACACCAGATCAGGTAATTATTACTATAATAGTCTAGAGCAGAGTATGACTTGGGCTCATGCCAGGGTAGCTGCTTCCCACGGCAGATGTACATAATGTCTGTAGTTGCAAAATCCAGAACGGTTTGCCTATTAAAAGTCTCATACACTGAGACTGTTGCTTAAATGTGAAGCTAAGAGCATAGTGGCATGCACGCACAAGAGTTGTTAAAGCAATAGCAGCAGGTAGATCACACAACATGTCTGAAAGCGGAAACAGTAGTAACAGTGTTTCTATGGACGCTCGATCGCTTGTATCAGCAGCTGTCACTGCCGTTGCCGGTCCCGAAATCCGCTGTGCCCTATGCGTCCGGGACCGGCACAGCTTTGTGACAGGAGATCAAAGGGAGTTCAGTATACAAACTCCCTTTGATCTCCTCTCAGTCCCCGTATGTAGGAAGTGATGTATATTACATCACTTCCTGCATTCAGTGTCACTCTCCAGCTAGAGAAGCTGATGAAGCCGATTTCTGCTTCATCAGCTTCTCTGGGGGTCCCTAGGTGACATTAGGGGTCTTGGAGACCCCTGATGTCTCCATAAAGAGGACCTGTCATGTAAATTGGCTATCCCATAGGGGGCTTCTTAGCCCCCCATGTAATAGCAATACAGTTGTGTGTAAAAAATAAAATAAAAAGTAATACAAAAATTAAAGAATCGTAAAAAAAAATAAAGAAGCATAAACATTTTTTAAAAAGAAAACTTTTTTAAGTTCCCGCCCCCCACATACACACACAGATATGCGTCGGGTGCGCCTACGTGCGAAGACGATTGCGCCTATTGTGCCGCACATGTTACATATCGCCGCAAACGTCGGAGTGAGAGCAATAATTTTAGAGCCATTAAGGCCGGGTTCACACCTGGGCGTTTTACAGCGCTGATCGATGCGCTGTAAACTGCACAGCAAGTGAAATCCCATTATTTCCTATGGGCATGGTTCCCACCTGGGCGTATTTCAGCTCGTCGGAACGCCTTACGCCCAAACAAATACAGGAGCTTTCGGGCAGTATTTCCGCGCGTATCTGTTAGGATACAGCCGGATAGCCCTCGTAAACGCGCATTGGATGCGCGTTTCGTGGACTAAAAATCGGGGTAATAACACGCGGCCCGAAACGCGTGTCATACGTGCATATTTCGATCACCTAGGTGGGAACCCAGCCTAAAGGAGAACTATTCTCTTAAGGGTCACAGGAGGATATATATTAGTGTCCTCCCGTGACACAAAGCTCAGTATATCGCGAGCTACAGCTTGTGGTATACTGAGACCGCTGAAACCGGGATGGATCCCGACATTACTGTCAAGATCCACCCAGCTGCGTGATTGACAGCTGGCTCTGCCTATCTAGAGGCAGAACCAGCTGTACCTGCCCCCTCCCCCGTCCGTTCCTCTACTCACCGCTGGAGGATCGGAGCTGGGAGGGGGGGAATCCCTGCAGGGAGCCGTGACTGACAGTCCCGGCTCTCTGCAGGGACATGATCGAGAAGTGAGCGAGCAACGGTATGCGTTCGCTCACTTCCCAATCTATTGAGCCAACGTGTGACAGTCACACGTCGGCTTGAACTATGAGGATGAGTGATTTCACTCACCTCATAGTTCTCCTTTAATGTTGTTTATGACAGGTAACTAGCCATTCAAGACCAGGCTCATTAACAAGCTGTGCAGATCCTGGCTAAACAGGATTTATGAGACTGCCAGAAATGTTACAAACCTTCTGCTCACACAGTTTAATGGGGTTTATGACAGCCTGCTTTGTGCTGGAAGCTAACTTGGGAAATTTAGAGAAATTAGGTGACACTGTGTTCAGTGCAAATTCCCATTCTCCCTACCCAAAATTTCACCAAATCTCATTATCATCACTGTGATCACTTGTATTTACAGGCAGCAAGCCTAGGGTGGCCACCCGTGCGGGTTTCACCCGTACAACCCGGGTTTGGAATCACGTGCCTGGGTCTGTGGCCACCTCCCGCCCGGGCACATGATTCAAACATTACAAAAAGCCTAATTAAGTGACATGTATTCCTATTTGCCCACATTTCACAATATAGATAATACCTTAAACTGATTAGCTTCTGTGTGGACTTTAGAGTGCCACACTCTGTAGTTTCATGCTAGGAATTACTGTCCCCCTCCTCCCATACTGTGTTTGCAGTAAACTCAGTCCCATAATAAGTGGTGGGGCCAATGGCTGGAGGGAGAATGCAGTTAGGGGAACAGCATACACAGGAGAGTATTATACCATGGGAA